GGTGCGAGGGGCAGGAACAGGCCGGGCCAGGCTGGCGACGCACACCGTAGGTTTGGTGCGAGGGGCAGGAACAGGCCGGGCCGGGCTGGCGACGTGCACCGTACACTTAGTGTGGGAAGCAGGAACGGGCCGGACCGGACTGGTGACGCACACCACTTGCTTGGTGTGAGGAGCGGGACTGGGTTTCATCATAACCCTCCGCTCCCTCAGCTGCCTACCGAGTTCCTCTCGCCGTGCCTCATTTCTCACCCTTTCCCTTATCGCCTCCAATAGCTCCATCCTCTGCAACACTAACTCCTGCTCCCTCTGGGCCAGTAGCCCCCTTAACCTGGTGGCCTCCTCACCTAATCGCCCTGTGGCAGCCTCCTGCTGCCCAGTCGCCCCTGCCGTGTGCCCCCCCCCTAAATTTTTTTTGGGGTTGCCTCTCGACCGTCCGAAGCTGACACTGCTTACGCCGTTGCTCCTCTCTCCGTCGCCTCTCAACTGTCTCACTCCATGGCCGGCGATCCATCCCGGCCAGGATCTCCTCCCAGGTCCAGGACCCTTTCCCGTCCAATATCTCCTCCCATGTCCAGGCTGCCTGCTCCTGGACACGCTGCTTGGTCCTGGTATGGTGGGTTTTTCTGTCACGATCGTCAGGGAGAGACCAATGCGCAGCGTGTTGAACGAACATACTTTAATTAGTTAAAGTGTCAACAAAATACAAAACAAGAAACGACTCGTGAAGTCCACGGTATCAAAGACCGAACACGGAACAAAAACCCACAAACACAAAGGGAAAACATACAGTTTAAATATGGCTCCCAATCAGAGACTTTGTAAAATTGCACAATAAGAACTTGTCTCTCAAATACATAATTACAGTTGTTGGTTAGCTAGCTAGTGAATTTGAGCCATATTAGCATAGACATGACATAAGTCCAAACACCTCAAAACAAGAAATGATATCAAGAACAAGATACCACTACAGTAGCTGAAAAGAGCCATCTACAATTACCCACATGGCAGCTTCTTTTCATTGTTGCTAGCTATCTGACAGTTCACAATCATAACAACACACTGCCTTTTACCCCTGCGATGCACGCACATCATTTTCGTGGAGTTGTCAGGCAACCCATCTATACACCAGCTTTCCAAAGCTGTGGCAAAGGTATGATTAATTCACAATGTGAAACCTCTCAATATGGTGACATAGTAGCCTACAGTCGAGTTATCCTACATTTACATTACATTTTGGTCATTTAGCAAATGCTCTTATCCAGAGTGACTTAGTCACTACAGTTATCCATTTGGTTTCACAGGAACCATTAAGTAGCACTCTTTACAACCTCTTTATGAAGGACCATAAACTATCATGAGAATAGAGATAACGCTAGTCTTGCGTTACCATACTCCCAAGTCTCCATCAATCGGGAAGCCTCGTACAGAGGCTAAGGCCAGAATTACATTTAGCTTGAAAGCGATCTCTGCGAACACGGTTAGATTGCCTTTAAAAGTTGCACTGTCTACAAGGGACGATCGGATTGAATCCTGGCCTAAGATAACACTGTGTTATCCAGGATTGTGAAAAAGAGGACTCATTTTAAGGGTGGGTTAGTAGGGTGGATTGCTTATGAGATGGAACACTGCAGATAAGACAGACAAGCTCCAACAGGATGGGCCACAATGAGCCAGTTAACCCCCTAAGTCCTGTGTAGCTCAGTTGGTAGAGCATGGCGTTTGCAATGCCAGGGTTGTGGGTTTGATTCCCACGGGGGGCCAGTATGAAAATGAATGCACTCACTAACTGTAAGTCGCTCTGGATAAGAGCGTCTGCTAAAATGACTAAAAATGTATCTGCATCAGCACCTCTGTGTCTATCGGATCCAAGCCCCCAACAACATCTCTTTACAACTGGATGAGCCTGGAATGCTAACATTAGCAAACCATAAAAAATACCATATGAGGTCTTGGTGGCTGTGCCTTTGGAAAATATGGCTCACTGCATTTGGATCAAACGTTCCATTATTTTATATCCACCACACCAAAAGGGAATATCTACTGTACATAGGGTACTTTCTCAAAATGTCTAAAACAGAGTTTCTCATGGTTCTAACTACACATATGACTCCAAGAGAAGCAAAGATAGTTGTTTTAAATTTGTAAGGAATTCTTTCTTGACTTAATTTCCTGCATCATGCTCCTTCCTAATTCTCTGAGACAGAAATACCTTCTACTGGGATAAGAGAAAAGACAATAATACCACAGGCAGCATAGAGAAAGTGATCTTTGTTTTATCGGCTTTGTAGGACAGGCTTGTTAGTTCATGGCCTCTTATATTAGGTACAGTGGGGAGAACAAGTATTTGATACACTGACGATTGTGCAGGTTTTCCTACTTACAAAGCATGTAGAGGTCTGTAATTTTTAGCATAGGTACACTTCAACTGTGAGAGACGGAATCTAAAACAAAAATCCAGAAAATCACATTGTATGATTTTAAGTAATTAATTTGCATTTTATTGCATGACATAAGTATTTGATACATCAGAAAAGCAGAACTTAATATTTGGTACAGAAACCTTTGTTTGCAATTACAGAGATCATACGTTTCCTGTAGGTCTTGACCATGTTTGCACACACTGCAGCAGGGATTTTGGCCCCGTTTCGGGGCTGTCGCTGGGCAATACGGACTTTCAGCTCCCTCCAAAGATTTTCTATTGGGTTCAGGTCTGGAGACTGGCTAGGCCACTCCAGGACCTTGAGATGCTTCTTACGGAGCCACTCCTTAGTTGCCCTGGCTGTGTGTTTCGGGTTGTTGTCATGCTGGAAGACCCAGCCACGACCCATCTTCAATGCTCTTACTGAGGGAAGGAGGTTGTTGGCCAAGATCTCGCGATACATGGCCCCATCCATCCTCCCCTCAATACGGTGCAGTCGTCCTGTCCCCTTTGCAGAAAATCATCCCCAAAGAATGATGTTTCCACCTCCATGCTTCACGGTTGGGATGGAGTTCTTGAGGTTGTACTCATCCTTTTTCTTCCTCCAAACACGGCGAGTGAAGTTTAAACCAAAAAGCTCTATTTTTGTCTCATCAGACCACATGACCTTCTCCCATTCCTCCTCTGGATCATCCAGATGGTCATTGGCAAATTTCAGATGGTCCTGGACATGCGCTGGCTTGAGCAGGGGAACCCTGCGTGCGCTGCAGGATTTTAATCCATGACGGCGTAGTGTGTTACTAATGGTTTTCTTTGAGACTGTGGTCCCAGCTCTCTTCAGGTCATTGACCAGGTCCTGCCGTGTAGTTCTGGGCTGATCCCTCACCTTCCTCATGATCATTGATGCCCCACGAGGTGAGATCTTGCATGGAGCCCCAGACTGAGGGTGATTGACCGTCATATTGAACTTCTTCCATTTTCTATTAATTGCGCCAACAGTTATTGCCTTCTCACCAAGCTGCTTGCCTATTGTCCTGTAGCCCATCCCAGCCTTGAGCAGGTCTACAATTGTATCCCTGATGTCCTTACACAGCTCTCTGGTCTTGGCCATTGTGGAGAGGTTGGAGTCTGTTTGATTGAGTGTGTGGACAGGTGTCTTTTATACAGGTAACGAGTTCAAACAGGTGCAGTTAATACAGGTAGTGGAGTGGAGAACAGGAGGGCTTCTTAAAGAAAAACTAACAGGTCTGTGAGAGCCGGAATTCTTACTGGTTGGTAGGTGATCAAATACTTATGTCATGCAATAAAATGCAAATTAATTACTTAAAAATCATCCAATGTGATTTTCTGGATTTTTGTTTTAGATTCCATCTCTAACAGTTGAAGTGTACCTATGATAACATTTACAGACCTCTACATGCTTTGTAAGTAGGAAAACCTACAAAATCGACAGTGTATCAAATACTTGTTCTCCCCACTGTATATCCAAACACTGCTATACTATTGGTGGTACAATGTGTAAATACTGTAGGTGTCTGTGTGTCCACTGCTAAGATATCCACAAGAAGAGAGTGTGCGAGAAAGAGAGAGAGAGAGGGAGACAAAGAGAGAGAGAGAGAGCTTCACTTGCTTTGGCAATGTTAACACACGTTTCCCATGCTAATAAAGCCCTTAAATTGAAATTGAAATTGAAATTGAGAGCTCACCCTTATCACCCTTATCTTTGCATTGTTCTTACGCTCTGAGAATGAATGGGGCAGTATACATTTACTGCCAAGGGAACGGCATCTGAGAAAAGAGACCGCCTTTAAGACTTTTCTCTTGTCGGGAGCCAGTTGCAGCTTTCCATATCTCGGTGGGGAATGTTCCTGGTAAAATTACAGGGGGTCTCTTCCGGATATGTTTACAACAAGATTAGAGTTGTCTTTGTTCCTGCATGTCTACACAGGGCTAGGCTAATTGTTCTTTTGTTTAGCTTGTCTGGAACTCATATCCTCAGATAGGTGGAGGACAATCAGTTCCATGTCTGGTTCTTTACATAATCTCATGTGGTGTACTAATAATGAGGGGTTTAACTGGTCTACTCTGTTTAATTTACATTCTTTTTTTAAAGAAGCTTATATTTTGGGTTATTTTTGAGAATAAGTTTTATTCTTCAATAATCAATGGCTATATATCATTGATTTAAAAGTCAAAAAATACATTAATAACACATTACAGTTCACACACAATCAGTTAATATAATATATTACCATATTTGGGCACAGAATTAATCACAAATATGTATAAACAGAAAATATTTCTGATCACCATCATTCCGTTTTACCAGTCCGTACTTATTCTGTGACATTACAATTAAAGAGATGAAAATCTCAAATTACCAAGGGATTTTGACAGGAAGAGCTTCAAACTGAGGCAAACAAAAATAGTAACATCTCATTCACATTTGAAAAAGTATACTTTAGAGTTTCACATTTGAGAGAGCAAAGCCAGACATGAGGACAAAGGAGTCTATGAAAAGTGCTTTTGGTGCATAAGGGAGAGAGGGAGGGAACTTGGGCAGAGGGGAGTTTCTAGTGGGAGGGACTGTGGGGGCCAGCAGGGTTATATAGTTAGAACGGCTTCCTCTCTGCCCCTGCTCTGTGTGTCTGTGTGCTCCGGTTTCTGCTGGCCCACTCTTAAATCTCTGTGCCTCTCTCAGTCTCTCTCACTCCAACGAAAATGAGTGTCAAACGAAGCAGCGTCAGGGGACCTGGTAGTGGGTACAGCCACTCCATCAATCTCAGCTCTGCTGCTCCCACCTACCGGGCCGCCAGCACCTATGGTGGGGCTGGGGGTCAGGGGACCCGCATCTCCTCTGTGTCCTACTCGGGCGTGCGCAGCGGGATGGGAGGGATGGGGATGGGAGGCTCCGGGGGCTCCATGTCCAGCAGCATCCAGGTGAGCACCAGCGGGGACACCGCCAACATCATGGGCAATGAGAAGTTTGCCATGCAGAACCTCAACGACCGTCTGGCCTCCTACCTGGAGATGGTGAGGAACCTGGAGCAGGCCAACGGCAAGCTGGAGCTGAAGATCAGAGAGGCCATGGAGAAGAGAGGCCCAGATGTCAACGACTACAGCCGCTACAACGCCATCTTGGATGACCTGAGGAAGAAGGTGAGAGAACTGAGTGACATTTGATTTGATTTGATTTGAACTGTGGGAGGAAGGAGGGTACTATTGGCTAATATTAGAGATGCTGGAGAATCTATACTATAGAGCTTTAGGGAAGTAATATATCTTTCAAATGCAAGTTCACTGTCCTAGAATGGCTGACCCAACGGAAAAGAGAGTAACAGAGTGTCAGAATGTAGTTTGGGAGTGAAAGAGGGAACACAGTGGCCCTACTTCATTTCCTTGTCAGGTTCTTCCCCTAGGTATTAAAGAACCAGGTCAGCTGGTTTGTTCATTCGAGCCGTGCTGATCAGTTATGGCAGTGTGTCAGAATCTCCAGGCAGAAAGCCAAAGGGCAGACATAAAGCAATAAGAAGGGGAATTCCAAGGGGTTCTGCTGGCTGACTTTCAACATGGCCAGAGTTCCAGGTCCAGCTAGCTTTTTTGGGACACAGAGATGGTTAGCAACAAGTTTCCCCATGAATGCAAGGATAGCTGTTACAGTTCTAGATAAAGTTCAAGAGGTTGTTTTTATATTGTCTCTCTGCTTTGGTGAGTGTATAAAAGTTAAATGGAAATACAATTCGCTACTATTGATGAGAGAGAAGGGAACTCACACCTTACAGTACTATTTTATGGTGTGGTCCTCACTTTTAGGGTGGAGCATGGTAATGAGTTTTGGAGTCAATGTGCGCCATTAAAAAGTTGTCCATCTAACCGTCTAAGCCATTCAATTCCCATTCATCTGACAGTGTTGCATTCATATTTACACTGAATAATTGACATATGGGTTTGTAATGCCTTTATGTGTGTACACTGTGGGGAAATTAATGACATTCTGTGAGTCATCCAACTGTAAATGTTTAGAGCTGATGATACTTCAAAATCAGCTAATTATCTGGGTGGAAAATACTGTTAGAAATCTCAAAAATAGTCAAATTATAGGCCTACTGCATTTGCAACAAGTTACTGTTGTATTTTACAGTATACAGCAAATCCTTCTTTATACTATATTACATTTTTTATAAAATATATATATCCAAAAAACTATTTCCATTGGATTCTGGAACATTCCAGTCATCCTACTGTGGTTTGGCCATTTGGACCTTGCTGGAGCAACATGCCAAAGTCAAACAACCCTTAGTGACAGAGTAATAACTATGCAAAATATGGAGATTATATGGTAGATGTCAGATACCAATAGTGAAAGACAAAATGCAAATAGGACAAGACTATCATTACAGCATTCCTATTGCTTTGTCCCTTTGAAAATTGACATTGAACTTAGCCTTGAAAGAAAGTAATGGTAAAAGGACCATGAGTGGTTTTAAATATTTGTTTAGTCTGCTGCTCTGGTTATGGCTCTCATTATGAAGCCTTACATAAAGGGTTAGGGGAGGAAGGGAGTTAGGGCTGATGTTTGCCTTGCTATTAATGCTTGCCTTTGTTGGCTTTACCAACTGCCCATGGTGTCTAATCGACCCCCAACTCAATAGATTATAGTCCCAACTGGTTTATTTTTCATTGTCATGAGACCGGGATGTGATTGCTAGTTCAAATGTCATCCTTTGAAAAACAAGGCTTATCTTGCCAGGAACAACAGGAAATCCAACCCAGTAACCATCCCGCACACACACACACACACACACACACACACACACACACACACACACACACACACACACACACACAACTCCCACCTGATGCAAATCCGCTGCCTTCTTCCTGACACGTCAACTAGCTCACCAGCAGTTTGGCTGTTTGTTAATGATTGCCCAGATTTTGTAACCTGCACGCATCCATCCCCACCCTTCTCTACTGTACCATGGAGAGCAAACACTGTGGCTGTGGGGCAGCAGGCCTTCATGGCTCCTGGCTGCCACTGTCTTCCAGTTCCTATACCTGCCTTTTCACTTTGATACTCCTTACACAAAAGTATTGAAACTGTTGTGGAAAAAAAATGAAATTGAAAGCGTGTTGACTTTAAACTCATTCCTCCTTCTCATTGGTAGGTGTTTGGTGCCACAACAGACAACGCCCGTCTGTGTCTTCAGATCGACAATGCCCGCTTGGCTGCTGATGACTTCCGGGTGAAGTAAGTAATGCTTAGTAGAGCACAAAACCATCAGATGGTTGCTGACACACCTTAATGAACGGCAGCATGATGAACGTCCAATGAAAACAAAACAAAGACAGTTGATTTGCCATATTATCTTCATACCCTCCATACTATGCTTTAAAGTGACACTTTAGAGAATATTCCACCATAGCTCTCCAGGTCACTGTATCTGAGGCAGTTTGCTGTGTGTCTTGCAGGTTCGAGTCCGAGCTGTCCATCCGCCAGTCTGTTGAGGCTGACATCGTTGGCCTGAGGAAGGTAATTGACGACACCAACATGGGCCGCATGAACCTGGAGAGCGAGATCGAATCTCTAAAGGAGGAGCTCATCTTCCTGAAGAAGAACCACGACAACGTAAGCTCTTCATGACCCAACCCAACCCCACCCCTCAACCACCAAACCAATATAATACACATGACCCAACCCCACCTCTCTTGCACCACCAAAATGTATATTTACCATCTTCCTTGTCATTACAATGGCTTAGCAAGAGCAAGACCTAGCATGCCGACATAGGAGACAAAGTCAACCTTACTGTATAAACAGGGGTGTTTTGTGTGAGAACCTTTGGATTTAGTCAGGGTGCAGTAGGTGCGGCGCACCCATAGGGTTCATCCAGGGGGCCGCTTGAGTACCCAAACAAACGGCCTAAACACGGACGCTGACTTCAGTCTTGAAAACATATTGCTTAATGAATGTTAACGTTGTTGTCCTTCTGGCCCAACAGGAGGTGATGGAGATGCGTAACATGATCTCCCAGTCTGGAGTGCAGGTGGATGTGGACGCTCCTAAGGGACAGGACCTGGCCGCTATCATGGCTGAGGTCCGGGCCAAGTATGAAAAGGAGGCCCTGAAGAACCAGGAGGAGCTCAAAGCATGGCACGAAACACGGGTAACACCTACCAGCTTAATAATTTGAAAACAGTGCTGACTTTAGAGTGTACAGCCACAGAAACACCTACTTAACCAATGATTTTTAAACTGACATCTATATCCTCTGTCCCTTCCAGATCACAGAGGTGCAATCTGTGGTGTCACAGAACACAGAGGCCCTGCAGGGCGCACACACAGAGATCAACGACCTCCGCAGACAGCTACAGACACTGGAGATCGAGCTGGACTCACAGAAGAGCATGGTAAGATCCCTCAATAATACTATACTCACCCAGCCAGTGTGTACAAAAGACATCACAGCATTTATTTTTCATTTAACTAGGCAAGAACAAATTGTTATTTACAATGACGGCCTACCCCGGCAAAACCCTGGCCAATTGTGCGCCGCCCTATGGGACTCCCAATCACTGCTGGATTGTGATTCAGCCTGGAATCGAACCAGGGTCTGTAGTGACGCCTCTAGCACTGAGATGCAGTGCCTTAGACCGCTGTGCCACTTGGGAGCCCATAGCAGCAATGCAATTGGTTAAGTTCATGTTAATTTACAAGTCCAACCACCTGTCCTGACTGTCTTTCCTCTTCCTCTCTCTAACAGAAAGGTTCTCTGGAGGGAACCCTGCGCGACACAGAGATGCGGTACAACATGGAGATGGAATCCTTGAACAGCATCCTCGTGGGTCTGGAGTCTGAGCTGACCAACCTCCGCTCCAGCATCCAGCAGCAGACACAGGAGTACGAGCACCTGCTCAACATCAAGATGGAGCTGGAGGCGGAGATCGCCACATACAGGAGACTGCTGGACGGAGGAGACAACAAGTGAGTAAGACAGAGGGTGAGAGAGCCTTAATTGGTGTTACATGTGTACTTCCTACCAATTAAGCAGACCTGAGAAAGATAACGAGGTTTGTTGTCGGCAAGAGCCTATTGTGGTAAATAATAATCTAAGGGCCATTTTCTATCTTGGAGGCAAAACAGTTGTGAAACTCTCTCCCACTCTCAGGCTCCAGTTGCTCTGGAAGACCAGCGGACAGTGAAGACAAAGGTGATCACACAGACCCTGGTGGACGGGAAAGTTGTCTCCTCCAGCACAGAGACCAAGGAGAGGAACCTGTGAGACCACACCCGTTGTCCTTAACGTACAACACCAATTAACACCTCATAGGCATAAGATAACATCTAGCTGGATAAGAAGAAAGCTATCTCATCACTTTATTTATTTCATAATTGTTTATTTTGCTTTTGGGTCTTAAGTGTTTTTTATCTTACGCATTTAGGAATACATACATTTATAGTACAAGTTCAGAATTGAGAAATTTGGGATGAAGTTGGTTCAACCAGCATTTTAGACCTTTAAAACTAGCAATTGGATGAAGTAAAATCTATTAACTTTCTTTTTCTACCATTGTCATCTTAATTTTATTTCTGTCCAATTGAATTTGCCTGATGTGGTGTACCTTCATTGTCCAATAAAAATTTACCAGAATCTTGACTATTGTCTTTCAATGGCTGTGCACTTCTTTGAACATTTTACTCCAAACCTGCACTATTGCCGAGGTAACTTGCTCCATAACAGAACAAACAGGTTTTCTAGCTTATCAGTTTTCATAATGGATTGTGGTTAATGTCAAATAGCAACTTTACTACAACAAAAATCTTATTCAATGAATGATGGAGCTGAGTTTGCCTTTTTTCCCAAAATTTCATTTAAGGCGTTCCAAAACTTTTACTATCATTCTTTATGTCATTTATCCTTGTTTCATAGTGTTGTTTCTTTTTCTTTTTATTCAGTTTAGTCACATGATTTCTCAATTTGCAATATGTTTGCCAATCGGTTGTACAGCCAGACTTATTTGCCATTCCTTTTGCCTCATCCCGCTCAACCATACAATTGTTAAATTCCTCATCAATCCACAGGGGATTTAACAGTTTTTACAGTCATTTTCTTAATGGGTGCATGCTTATTAGTAACTGGAATAAGCAATTTCATAAATGTGTCAAGTGCAGTGTCTGTTTGCTCCTCATTACACAGCATGGACCAAAATATATTCTATACATCAACAACATAGGAATCACTACAAAACTTATTGTATGACATCTTATACACAATATTAGGCCCAACCTTTGGAACTTTGGTTTTCCTAGATATGGCTACTATATTGTGATCACTACATCCAATGAATTTGGATACTGCTTTCAAACAAATCTCTGCAGCATTAGTAAAGATATGATCAATACATGTTGATGATTTAATTCCTGCACTGTTTGTAACTACCTTGGTAGGTTGACCGATAACCTGAACCAGGTTGCAGGCACTGGTTACAGTTTGAAGCTTTCTCTTGAGTGGGCAGCCTGATGAAAACCAGTCAATATTTAAATCACCCAGAAAGTATACCTCTCTATTGATATCACATACATTATCAAGCATTTCACACATGTTATCCAGATACTGACAGTTAGCACTTGGTGGTCTATAGCAGCTTCCCACCAGAATTGGCTTTAGGTGAGGCAGATGAACCTGTAGCCATATTACTTCAACAGTATTTAACATGAGATCCTCTCTAATCTTCACAGGAATGTGGTTCTGAATATAAACAGCAACACCTCCACCATTGGCATTTCTATCTTTTCTGTAAATGTTATAACCTTGTATTGCTACAACTGTATCATCAAAGGTATTATCTAAGTGAGATAGTCAGAATATGAATGTCATCTGTTACTGGCAAATTCTTGATTTTATGAACCTTGTTTCTTAAGCTACATATGTTAACGTGGGCTATTTTGAGCACTTTTCTTCTGGGATGCTTACTTGTTTTTATTGCTTTACTGGGAAGCTTAGCAGCAGTAGATGTGCTCATGTTCTTTATGTTAGTGCAGGGTGAGCTGCACACAGGGGACTTCCTCCTCGGGCACACCGGCTCAGTGCTAACAGTATGAATCTGGTTCTTAGGCACATTATTACTGCATATAATAGCTGTAGGATCAGCAGAGGCATTCAGGGCAGTTAGAGGGACATAAATTAGGTTACTTATATTACCCCTGATGTAATGTACATTTGCTGAAGCATTTTGACAACTCTGTGTCACAATGGTAGGGATTAGCTGAGCTGGGCTTGGGTCATTGCTAAGTCATTGTCTCAACGCAGCCTTATAATGCTGTGAAAGGACCCAGGAACCCAAATTATTTGGGTGGATCCCATCCTCCTTATAAAACGTGTTTTGTTTCCAAAAGGTATCGAAATTGTCAACAAAAGTTACACCCATTGAGCTGCAATAATCACATAGCCAGTTGTGAAGAGCAAGAATCCTGCCAAAGCGTTCCATGCCACAATTCAGAGAGGGCACAGGGCCAGATACGTTGAGTTGAGTTTTTTGTTAGTGTCTAGCAGAGAGTCAATCAGCTCTTTGAAATCCAGTTTCCAGCTGCCCTTCATAATGTCATTAAAACCCACATGGACTACGATAGAATCGATTTCCATGTCCTGACGTAGTACATTCTGGAGCAGCTTAGTAATGTAATTTACTCGAGCTCTGGGATAGGACATTGTTTTTGCACCAGGAACGGTCACATTTCTTACCATGGAGCTGCCCAAAATCATGGCTGGCGAGAAGGACGAGGAAATCTGCCCACTCCCACGCTTCACAGGATGAAGGCCTCCGACAGATGGAGAAGCCCCGCTCGATATAGAGCAAGGATGGAAGGTTGCCAACATCGACTTCGAAATCGTAGTAGTAGGCACTGCGGCCGCAGACACCCCCAGCGACAAAGGTACAGGAAGATCAGGCTCCAGGACGGCAAAACTCTTAGTTATTTGTATCCACTCCGGGCCTCTCGTTGGGAGTGTAGACTGCTTTGCGGGAGGTCGCTGTCTTCGGCTTCCACGGCTCGTGAGATGCGACCATCGTTGATTGCCTTTCTCCTTATGATGTGCTCCTTCGACGGCACTATCAGATGGGGGAGCAACACCGGTCAGTCGGATAACGACAAACGACAAGGCGGAGATGCATCCAACATGAGCGAACGCCGTCCAGCCGCCGGCGTAGAAAATGTAAACATTCCACTCTGCGTTTTCCCCAGGTTCTTACGTAGGCTGGCAGCCTGCATGATCAAGGAAGCCACCTCAAGCCTATAATCCTCGGCAAGTAAACAATTGCCGCATTGGAACTCTGAGTGATCCGGTTTGTCCTGAAACAAAGCGAAATAGATACAGCTCCTACAGCACTGGAACCATTCATTTAGTTCTCCAGACAAAGAGGGCTCCATTGCAAAACTCATCTGGTACCAACTTTGTTAGCTTGATGGCTAGCAGCTTAGCGTCTCTGTCAAGCAGGCTTAAACCTGTCTCTTAAACGGGATTCCGGGACAATAAATAGCGGTCCTAGCTGTTAAAAGCTAACCGCGTCGTGGAATCCATGCAAAAACAAGTTATGTATTCGTATTTATGAATAGCGTTTTTGTTTTACCATCAAAAATAACAAACCGATTGTTTTCCAGCATACAATGTTCAGCTGTGCACATTGAACATGCAACATCAGATCCATGTCACATTTTCATCATATTTTAGACATTTGTGCATATTCTCACTGTTTGATCAACATCTGTTTTTCATCCTATTTAAATACAGTGGGGAGAACAAGTATTTGATACACTGCCGATTTTGCAGGTTTTCCTACTTACAAAGCATGTAGAGGTCTGTAATTTTTATCATAGGTACACTTAAACTGTGGGAGACAGAATCTAAAACAAAAATCCAGAAAATCACATTGTATGATTTTTAAGTAATTAATTTGCATTTTATTGCATGACATAAGTATTTGATCACCTACCAACCAGTAAGAATTCCGGCTCTCACAGACCTGTTAGTTCTTCTTTAAGAAGCCCTCCTGTTCTCCACCCATTACCTGTATTAACTGCACCTGTTTGAACTCGTTACCTGTATAAAAGACACCTGTCCACACACTCAATCATACAGACTCCAACCTCTCCACAATGGCCAAGACCAGAGAGCTGTGTAAGGACATCAGGGATACAATTGTAGACCTGCACAAGGCTGGGATGGGCTACAGGACAATAGGCAAGCAGCTTGGTGAGAAGGCAACAACTGTTGGCGCAATTAATAGAAAATGGAAGAAGTTCAAGATGACGGTCAATCACCCTCGGTCTGGGGCTCCATGCAAGATCTCACCTCGTGGGGCATCAATGATCATGAGGGAGGTGAGGGACCAGTCCAGAACTACACGGCAGGACCTGGTCAATGACCTGAAGAGAGCTGGGACCACAGTCTCAAAGAAAACCATTAGTAACACACTACGCCGTCATGGATTAAAATCCTGCAGCGCACGCAAGGTCCCCCTGCTCAAGCCAGCTCATGTCCAGGCCCGTCTGAAGTTTGTCAATGACCATCTGGATGATCCAGAGGAGGAATGGGAGAAGGTTATGTGGTCTGATGAGACAAAAATAGAGCTTTTTGGTCTAAACTTCACTCGCCGTGTTTGGAGGAAGAAGAAGGATGAGTACAACCCCAACAACACCATCCCAACCGTGAAGCATGGAGGTGGAAACATCATTCTTTGGGGATGCTTTCTGCAAAGGGGACAGGACGACTGCACCGTATTGAGGGGAGGATGGATGGGGCCATGTATCGCGAGATCTTGGCCAACAACCTCCTTCCCACAGTAAGAGCATTGAAGATGGGTCGTGACTGGGTCTTCAAGCATGACAACGACAGCCAGGGCAACTAAGGAGTGGCTCCGTAAGAAGCATCTCAAGGTCCTGGAGTGGCCTAGCCAGTCTCCAGACCTGAACCCAATAGAAAATCTTTGGAGGGAGCTGAAAGTCCGTATTGCCCAGCGACAGCCCCGAAACCTGAAGGATCTGGAGAAGGTATGTATGGAGGAGTGGGCCAAAATCCCTGCTGCAGTGTGTGCAAACCTGGTCAAGACCTACAGGAAAGATATGATCTCTGTAATTGCAAACAAAGGTTTCTGTACCAAATATTAAGTTCTGCTTTTCTGATGTATCAAATATTATGTCATGCAATAAAATGCAGATTAATTACTTAAAAATCATACAATGTGATTTTCTGGATTTTTGTTTTAGATTCCGTCTCTCACAGTT